CCGGGTCAGGAGGATCATCGGGGTTCAAGACCTTCTCATCACCATCCCGCCATGTGACCTGGAGAGGCAACCACGCCGTCCCCTCCAGACCCCACACGCGGACAGGTCAGGGCAGGCCGTGCGGGCGGAGCTCTGGTCCAGGCGCTCCCGGGTCTGGGCCCCGGCTCTGCAGCCCTTCCTGGGTCCCCACTGGCCTCTCTGGGGTGGAGACCATGTAGCCGGGGCAGGGTTTGCAGGAACTGGCTGCCAGAGGGGCTCCCCCAGAGCTGATCCCTACAGCGAGGATGGGAGGGCGGGTGCTTTATTCGGGGGTGACCCTCAGAAAGCAGGGGTGGGGAAGGTGACAGCGAAGGAAAGGCAGCCAGAACACCGAGCGTCACAGGTCAGCTCCCACGTGGGTCAGCGGGGCCCTTGCAGGGTGTGGGACGAGCGGGAGGAGGACGGCTCCACTCGACGCAGCCACTGGCCGAGGGGTGCCCGGGCCCCGGGGCCTCGCTAGCCGAAGCCCCCGAGTCACGGCGGCTTTGGGCTGGGGTCCCTCCAGTTACGGTCTGTGCCAGGGCGTGTGTGCTGAGGGGAGGTGGGCGTTGCCAGACCTGACCCTCGCACACGAGGCCTGTCTCCCCCTCTGCCTCACGGAGGGCTGGAGGACCCTGTGCCTTCTGAGGGAGGGGCTTCGGTTGTGTCCTGGTGGCGGGAGGGGGCGGAGGGGTGAGGGGCAATCCAGGTCGGGGTGGCGGATTGAATTGTGTGCCCCAGAAAGACACGTTAAAGTGCTGACCTCTGGAAGCCCACAATGTGGCCTTATTTGGAAATAGGGCCACTGCAGATGTAATCAGTGAAGATGAGGTCCCACTGGGGTACGGCAGGCCTTTAATCAAATATGACTGGTGTCCTTATAAGAAGGGGAGAAGAGGCACAGAGACTGACCCACACAGAGTGGAGGACGCCACGTGAAGACAGACCCAGAGGGGAGGCCGCCGTGTGACAGGGGAGGCAGAGGTTGGAGGGGCTCAGACTCAAGCCCAGGAGGGCCGAGGAGCGTGGTCATTCCGGCACCCACCAAGGGGGGCAGCCTTGGGGGGGGGCAAACAGAACTGGGTTCCAGGCCCCACTTGCCACCCCGGGGGTGACCTGGGCCGTCACAGTCCCCGAGCCTCACTCACGCAGCTGTGGGGAGGCTCCTTTCTCTCTCCTGCTTGCACACACGTCCAGGAGTCAGTGCTGGGGGGGGGTTGGGACCTCGCCAGGGCCTCACCATGTGTGAGGAGTTTATAGCTTGGTGGCCTTGGGCAATCCAGCTTCACACCTGCTGGCTCAGCGCTCCACGTGAGCATCTTAACACACAAGGGTGACCTGGCGTCTCCTCTTCTGACCTGGCCTTGGAAGCCTTGCCGTGTCACTTCCAAGCATCTTGTTATAGACTCCACCTTGAATGGGAGGAATGTCAAGGTCACTCTGCAGCAGGGAGATACCGTGTGGCCATCGTCAGAGGTTACAATGGGTCACGACAGCTGCTCGGGAAGGCCGGGTCCCGTGCCCCATAGCGTGGCATGTTCTCTTCTGGAACTGGGATTGTGACCTGGTGTGCAGGTGACGCAGGCAGGGAGAGACAGGTCAACAGGCACAGTGAGGCTGAGACAGGGAGGTGACTTTGCAAATGTCATGGGTCAAGCAGGTGGCAGAGCCAGAACTTGAACCCAGGAGGGCGGGGGTGAGGAGGAGAGAGAGGGGAAGGAGAAGGAGCACGAGGTTGGTGGCCATTGCAAGCCCTGCTGTGACGTTCTGCCTCCTGAGCAAGGCTGCATGATGGAAATCTGTCCGTTCGTCATCTTTCAGGTCTGATTCGATCTTGCCCTCAGAGAAGCGCTTGATGGGTAGAGAGCTCAGTGGTGTCCCCCCTTTTACTACCAACTCTCCCCGTGTCCCTTTGGGGAGGTACCTCTTTCTTGCTGCAGATCTGAGGTGGGCCATATCCCACGGCACTGATGTCCCAAGGAGAGAGTAAGGTCAGTGGAAAGGGAGGGAGAATGGAAGGGTTGGGGGAAAGATAAGGAGGGAGGGAGGGAGAGCTTGGTCCACCCATCCCCACGGGTGTTCTATTTCCGGGATTTTAAGCTGTGGGCCCCAGTATTCCTTTTATTTGAGGAGGTTGGGTACCAACTCCTTCCAATATCTCTTTTCTCCTGTGGACGGAGGGCCTGCCTGGTCTGGCCCCTGCCCTGCTCCTGGGCCCTCCGCTGCTCCTTGTCCACGCTCACCACACTCTTTGTTGGCCAGAGTGTCCCGGGAACTCACTGGACTGCAAGCTCTCTGAGGACGGGACTCTGGGCCACTCTGTACCACTTTATCAGGGCTTGACCTGGTGAGTATTTGTTAAACAAACAGGAGTGGGTAAATGCAAGGACGTGAGTGTGTGGCCTCAGGAAAACATTGACCTTTAGGAGTGTCCTGACGACCTGGGGTGGTCTGAGCAGAACCTCCATGAGGTTCGCAAACCGGGGACCAGCAGGTGGCCCACTCAAGTGTTCCATTTTGGTCAGCACAGTGTTAAAAATAGTGCCAAGGACAGAAAACAAAACAACAATTAAAAACATTAAAAACGGACAAACTTGCGCAGACTTTTCTCTAACGAAGATCTACAAATAGCTAATGAGCACACAAAAAGACGCTCAACACAAATCAAGAACACGATGAGATACCACCCCACGCCCATTAGGATGGCTACGAGAACCCCCCCTCACACACACATATCAAATGGCAAGCGTTGGCGAGGATGTGGAGAAATTGGAACCCTTGTGCCCGGAAGACAGCATGGCGGCGCCTCCAAAAATTAAACATAAAAATGCCGTAGGATGGGGCAATTCCAGTTCTGGGTATAGGCCCCAAAGAATTGGGAGCAGAGACTCGAAGGGTTATCTGTCCCTAACAGTGTTATTCATAGGAGCCACAAGGTGGGGGCAACCCAAGTGTCCATCAACAGATGAACAGATAAACAAAATGTCGTCCAGCCATACAGTGGGACATTATTCAGCCTTAAAAAGGAAGGACGCTCTGGCGCCTGCTCCAACCTGGGTGAAACCTTGAAGACGTTATACGAAGTGAAATAAGCCAGACACAAAAGGGACAGAAACTGTATGATTCCACTTATGTGCGGTCTTCAGAGGAGTCCCATTCACAGGGACACGAAGCAGAAAGGTGGGTGTCGGGGGGCTGGGGAGGGGGTGGGAGCGGCTTTGTGGGCCAGGTCATGATCCTGGAGTCCCGGGATCGAGTCCCGCATCGGGCTCCCTGCTCTGTGGGAAGCCTGCTTCTCCCTCTCCCACTCCCCCTGCTTGTG